CGCAGAGCACTTTCTTGAAAGTCTTAATTAAAAAAAAAACAAAAAAATAAAAAATAAAAAAAAGGCCTACTCTTCCCTAAAGTGACGTGGGTACACCATGGCGTCACACTGAGGAGTGACAGCCAGCTCCTCGCGGGGTGACATGCAGAGGTCACTTCTGTGGGTGGCTCTTCTGGAAGATCCCAGCCTGTCTGCACTCCCACTGCTGAGTGTGGGTGCCCAGGAGGACACTCGGAGCCCGCTCAGTGCCCTTCCCACCCAGGGAGAAGAGGAAGCGGGCATGAGCCGAGAGCCTGCGTCTCCCGTCCTGGGGCACTGCACTGAGGAAGGGTCCCTGCACCTGTTCACAGGACAATGAGCTGGCAGTCTGCATGTGCCTTGAGCGAGGTCACGCGAGCCTTGGAACAAAGCCAGAGATCAAACCTGTCGTGAAAGATGAAGTTCCTCTGCTTAAGCCAGGCAGTTGAGTGAGGTGGTGCAGGGCACAGACTGGGCATCTGGCTGCCAGGGTTTGAAGACCAGACCTGCTACTGAGAGGGCCTGGAAAGGCTGCGCACATCTCTTCGCCTAGTTTCCTCTCGTGGACAGTGGGTGACCGTGTGAGGGCTGTGTGGACATCCTACCTACAGAAGTGGCCTAGAGAAAGTGGTCCAGAACCAGGCGGAATCCCCAGGGAGGAAAGAAGCGAAAACATCATGACCCTTGCCTGTGAGTTGTGCTAGGGGGACTGTGCAGACAGCTGGCCAGAACAGCAGGTGGCCTGGTGACCCCTGAAGTGGGGCCTGGTATCTGAAGCTCAGGCAGCCTTGTTGGGGACGGTATCCTAAATTTGTGGGGTGTGTGCTAACTCTAAGGGGTTGACTTCACAATTATATTGCAACGTGATGGACCCCTTTAAGAATGAAATACAATCATATGAAAAAGACCTTATGAACTCTGAAGGCTTCAATATTACATAATAAAACAAGGTATGGTCATGGTGGAGGACCAACGGGGACATTCTCATAGTTAACTTTCTAGCAATTCAGATGGATTTCTGTTGTTCCAACATACTCTCTTCCTGAACCCCATGGTGGTGAAATTTATTTTTTACTTCCACAAAATCTAACGGGAACATGAGATGCACAAGAGTCTGAGCTAGGTATGGGAAGAATGGGGGCGTGGGAAGGAAGTCAAGATGAAGAGGAGATCATGCCTACCTTCCAGAAACACGTCATCCAGGGAGGAGACACAGTGGTAAACACAGAATCCAAGCAAGAGCGTGGGCAGCACAGAGGCTCAGCACAGAGGCCAGACCAGGGAGAGGGACTTGGAAAGCCGCAGGGAAAAGGACATTTGAAGCAGGCTGTGCATGGGACCGAGGGGCGGGAGAAAGAAAGGATGTTCACCCGCTGTAGGTAGACAGGACTGTGAACCACTCGGCACCATCAGACAGGGAGATTCCCCGGGATCTTACTCTTTCCCATTAAAGGCAACTTAGTGAAAAGATTGAGAAACTCTGACCCTGATTTTAGAGATTAGCCAACAAGGACCTAGGGTTATGTGATATGTACCAGTTCACCCCCAAAACAAATGAGCAAACCAGAGAGGGGGCAGGGTTGGCCCACTGCCTTGCCCACAGATGCGATCTCGCCCACTTAAGCAGTAGTTTAGAATTCAAGTCAACACTACCTCAGTGGCCCTGTAGGAGAGAGGGTCCCTAGCTCCCCCCAGGGGACTTTTGCCCCAGGAGCAGCAATACAGGGAGCAGCAGCACATGTGTTGGCTCCGAGGTGTTGAGGACATTGCCCCCCGAGGAAGAGTCAAGCTCTGAGTGCAAACCAACTAGTCAGAACTGAGCCACAGAGTGGCCTCATCAACACCAGCCAGCGACAGAGCCTAGTGACGCCCAAGGAGACGCGGAGGCTGCACACCATCAGCTGAAAACAGCAACAGACGCTTCAGAGGAAAACATGACGATGTCTTCCCCAAACAGCTGGGTCGTGCGACAGGTGCAATCAAACACCGAAGGAGCTTCAGCCAATTGCTAAGAGACAGCCCAGTGCATCTGTCCACCCCCTGGAGCGGAGCCTCGACTGGCTTTTCTCCTGTACCTGCCCAGCGGGTGGCACTTCCCGGAATTCTCAGGCCTGTGCCACCCTGGAGGCCCTTTGCTTCAGTCTGAGAAGGACTCTTGGAGATGAAGAGAACCCAGAGCTGACCTCCTTCACCAGCTCCTGCTTTACCAACATGAGATCCCCAGGCAAAAGGGGACAGCTGCTCTGTTTTCAGTGAGGGACTGAGTTTCATTAACCATCAAAATCACAACTTTTTTAATTCCAGAAATAAAAGCCAAGTTATTGTCTATCCATGTGTTAGCTTTCCCTCACTGTGACGCCATACTCCAGTAATCAACTTACAACACGGAAGGTTCAGAGGTTTCCATCCAGGGTGCTTGGGCTCCGGGAGCACAGAACATACGGCAGACGCTCATGATAGAAAAGGCTCGCTCACCTTGCGGCAGCTGGGAAGCCCAGGGAGAGGGGACGGGCAAGGATCCCAGCTCCAGGGCAGGGCCTAGGGACCGGGCTTCCTCCCACCAGGTCCACCTTGGAAGGTTCCACCGCCTCCCAGTAGCATCTTAACCAGGCTCTTAACCAGGCCTTCAGCCACGGCCTCTGGGGCATCCAGACGCCAACGGGAACAGCCCAACTGCAAAGTCAGGGAAGGCTCAGGTCTGGAGCCCGCTTTGAAGTGCAGTGCCTGGCCTCAGAACGCAGGCACTGAGCTACCCCTTCTTTTAGGAAAGGGCCTTGCGATGAGTCTGAAACCTGGTGTGGCTGCACATATCCTTTTGATACCAAGCCCTTGTCCTGGAGGGGCAGTGTGGTGGGCAGCAAGCAGGGATGTGGCCCTGTGGAGCCCACTGTGCCAGCACTGGCCTGAGGCACGGCGAGCAAAGGCCCGGGCAAGCTCGGGCGCCCTGCCTGTTGCACTGCTGGGGCCCAGGCTCGGCCCAGTGGGGGTGCCTGCTCCACACAGCACCACAGCCCAACCCCCAGCATCCAGGACCTGACAACCCCCACCTCCAGGGAAGGAGGGCATGTCCTGGTGTCACTTGATGGAAGCCGTCAGCAACGGCCTCTCCAGGCCGAGAGCTCACCCAGATGCAGGGAGGGGCAGGCCCCACGTGACCTCACCTCCAGGTGGACTGCACACCCTGCAAAGAGACCACGACCTTCTTTCTAACAGCGTCCCGAATGCGGGCACTGGGTACCTAGCTCGGCACAGTGCAAGGACTCGACAAATACTTGCACGTCTGAGAGACGGTGTTAAAAAGCAGCTAACTCAGCTTCTCAGCATCATGCCCACCAAGTTCCAAGTTCTGATCTCTGTGGTCTTGTATTTCTCTAGTGAAACAGACAGGATGAAGGTCACACAGGGAGACACTTCAGCCCATTCCCTGTCTGCAAACCTGAGCAGAGATAGGTGGGGATCACATGGAGCAGACCCTAAGAAAAACAGTGCACATCGGGGGAGGGGACCACAGCAGGAGACATATTCTGGCCCGTCAGAACTGAGATCAGAATTAATTACACTAAGTGGAGGCTTACGTGGATAACCAACTTGCTCAAGGTTGGGTCATGGGTTTGCTGAGAAATGGAAAGAGTTCTAGGGTCTGACCCCAGTGGAGTACTCTTGTTGCAGCACAGTAGTGTTTCTAGAAGAAAATGTTGCTTTATTTAAAAAAAATAAATAGTGACCAAAAGAAGTGTTCTCCTGATTTGGTTCTGTCACTATCCCTGCCGTTGGCCACACTGCCCTGCTGCCGGCCTGGCTCGCCAGCCCCTGCCTGTGTCCACAGGCGTAAGGCACTCACTGAGAGCAGCAGGGATTTCCCTGTTGGACAGTCCAGCTGGTCAGTAAACTCATGATGTTGGGGTGCAGCGGAGCGACGGAGGGGAGAAACCACACAAGAGACTGACTTCATGCAATCGCAGGGGGGAAGTTTATTGAGGATCCTGTTCCAGTGCGCTGGGACTCTGTGCCCACTCAAGAAGGGAGAGTGGCTCAGAGCCCAGAGCAGAGTTCAAGCGGAGCTTAAGGACACTTTTTGGAGAGGGCGGGGGGCTTTGCATACATCAGAACAAATCATCATGAGGCGCGGGAAAATTGAACAACAACCCTGAGTCAGGATTAGTGCATACATTGGCGGGAACAATCAGGGCAGGAGTGATTGGTGCTCCTAGGTGGGGTACACATTCAAACTGATTGGTTTAGATCCTGCAATGCCTATGTGCCAAACAACTTGGAACCCTTAGCTATTAAACAACCAGAAAGTCAGTGAAAATATTTACTGGGCAGTTCCAGTATTGTCCTAACAGCTATAGGGATTACAGGTTTTGGGGGTAGCAGAGGGACTCTAACAATACCCAGTCTTTTACTTTTTAACCCAATCCCTGCACTTTGGAAACTTTAGGATGCCTGGTCTTTTACACTTTAACTCAGGCTCTGCGGCTTAGAATCAGCTTGGAAATTTTACCTTTACAATGAAATTAAGCAATTTCCTTAATTGAATACAAAGGCGTACATGGTGGTACAGTTGGATTATTGCCTAATACAGATTTTAATAGAGAAGAATTTATATTCAATACATAAATAGAGCTACTGGAAAAGTTACCTAAATGTTCTTTCTGGATTCATTATTACTTTAAAGCCTCTGAAACCACCTTTCTCAGAGACATCAAAAAGGGAAAGTTGGGCTTAAACAACTTTGTCTTAGCCACGACCCTAAAGATGGAATCTGTTTTTGAAAAACACAAGCAAAAAGAATAAATGCAGGCTTTTAAAGGCAAGTTGTATGGTATTTTCTATCCTTCTCGAGCCAATTGTTAAAACGTGGGAATTTGGTGCAGAATGAGAAAGTGTGTGAGGAAAACCTTCGAGAGCTCCTGACCCTTGCTGCAAAACCAAGCAGGAGCTGGGGGAGGAGATAAATCCCGTCCCTGTCCCCTACGGATAGGAGAAGCCTGTTGGTGCCAGGGAGAACGTTGGCTTCTTACATCAACGCTGAGTTTCCCTGGAAACCACAGAAACTGAAGTGGTTTAGCACAGGCCTTCCGCAAGCAGGGCGGGGCCCCAGGCTGCTCTCTGCCCGCACTGCACCAAGAGAGACTCCAGCCGGTGGCGGCAGAAAGCCTGTGCGGGAAGGTCCTTGTAGAAACGCTGCTCCCTGCTCCCGTCCACACACAGAGGAAGGCCCTGAGTCCTTAGAGAGCTGCTTTAATGACAGAGACAATAGGTAATTAACCCATCATTGTCAGCACTCTAAGAACTTGAAAATACATTTTTTTCTTAAAATCATTCCCCGTGTTTTCCTTAAATTCTTAAATTATGCAACAGTTAAAAAACTATAATTCCTGCTCCAAAGACCTCAAATTTCTATTACTACTTTTTAAAAATCTCTCCTTCCTGATCTTAGTATACACACTAAGAAGATAAAAAGAAAGATTATGCAAGCTAGTCGACTTCATTCTATCAAGAAAGTGTTCAGATGGAGAACTTTCTCACATTCCATTAGACCAAGGAAAGGAAATAATTAGCATATAAAATACCAGAAAGCATCCACTCTGGTGCTGTAATAAAAAACAGTAATGACATTTTCCCTCCACATTTAGAACATTCTCGACCTCATTTGGATAATTTAACACCAAAGTAACTTCAACCTTTTTGGCCCCAAACCTAAATTTTCCATAATCCCTAGCCAAGGGATTTCTGATTTTTCAACACTAAATATAGAAATTAAATTCATGCTACCATTTGGCTTATTTTTCAATTTGTCATTTGTACTAAATTTTAAAAACCACTCTAAATACTTCTTAATGTTTTATGAGTAACATTGAGTGCCTAAAAGTCTTGTCTCCGGTGTTTATGCAGCTGACCTGGCCCATATTTCAGAAGGATTCTAGCACAGCTTACCACGAGCATTCTTCCAATAGCCGTCTTGAGTGCTGTTTTAGACTTTCTGCTTCCATGCGTTTCATAATAAAAGTTCATTTTCAGAGTAATTCGGTTGCCAAGGGAATGGAGGAACATTAAGGAGAAGAAATCATCTCTGCAAAGCCCCTTCATCCTTCCCTTTCACAGATTCTCTCTCCCTAAGCACGCGGTAGAGATCAGTGAGAGACTGAAAGATGAATGAAGGTAACAACAAAAGATGTGTTTGGAGGGTCAATCTGGGATTCTGCTGGGTTAATAGAAAAAAAGCCAAAAAAATAAAAAAGATACGTGGCCCCATGGTGAGTCTCCTGCTCTTTACACTGAACACAGGGCTGTGTCCTGTTTGCTTTGCCGTTTTTAAAGGAAGAGAAAGGTAACCAGCCCTCCCTAAGGGGAAACCCCTCCACTGAAACAGGGGAGAGCAGGCTGTCTGCCCGGGTATCCATGAAAACAGCAAAGGCCCCGGGGTTGAGCAGAAAGTGGGAGGGAGGCTGCAGCCGGCACTGGGAGGACCAAGGAACAGCTGGGTCCTCTGCTGGCACCATGCCCTCCCTCCCGCAGCACAGTGACCCTGCCAGGGGCCTTGCCACGCTTGAAAGCCTGAGGATGGCGTTCCCAGAGGTATGGCAGGGAGCTGCACTGGAAGCTTGGAAATGCAGAGGGAGCTTCAGATTCAGGTCTGTCTGGGCAGAGCCCTGATCACTCCACTCAGCATCATGGACTGGGAAGAGTCTCTCCAGTGTGTGAATCATCTGCCATCATCGTTCTGTGTAGAAATTCTACTGAAGCTATTCGAAAAGATAATTATGAGAATTAGGTAGAGCCGAGGGGACCACTTGACTTTGAGGACTCGAGGACTTCCAAATGGCCCCTCTGAAGAGTCTGAATGGACTGACCGAGCACAGGCGGCCATGTGTCCGGAGCGACCTCAGCAGCAGAGAGAGCCACAGGTCTTCCCGGGGTTGCCAACTACAAGGTGCCGCCTGGGGGTGGGCACGGGAAAGGGCTAGTCAACATCCGTGAGCATCGTGAGAACCTGGTGAGAGGTCCCATTCCAAGGGACACCAAGGGCTTTTCATAGAAAATGTCCAATCAATGGAGAAACACTGCAAAGAAGCAGAAAAGGAGACAACAGAAGAGAAACCAAACCAGGTTTGCAGGGTGATGGCCCAGCCCCAGGTCTGACCCCAGACTGGCCACCAGGGCCTGGCAGAGGACCCTGGGGGCTCCAGGCCAGGCATCCGTGCGGCCAAGCCCCCCAGGCAGTGGGGCATTGCTGGAGAGACTGGTGTGAGACCAGGGGTAGTGACGGCAGCCAAGCCTGCACCTTCACTCCCGTGACAAAGAGTCAGGTGCACAAGTGACAACAGGGGTCGGGTTAAAGCCAGGGGAAGGCCGGACCAGCCCATGGCTCTTCAGACCAGAGGATCTGGAACATCTTTGAATCCTGAAGACAGCATGATCTTCAAGTCGGAAACACGGTCCGCCCTGAACTCCTGCTCTGCAACACTGCGGGTGCTGTGCTGCGGAGAGAGCGACGGTGACAAGCAAGCAGTCGATGGTCAGGATTGTTCTGGGCACAAGGAACACACGCTAGTACACAGGCACCAACCCCTGGCCTCCCAGAGCTTATATCCCGGTGGGGAGAGACAGATGACAGGAATAAGCACACCCGGCCTGCCACAGGTGGAGGAACAGAGAGGGGCTGGAGGTCCAGGGAAGTCGCGCTTTTACACGGGGCGGACCCTGGCAAGCTGCTGCGCACACCTGGGGTAAGAGTGCAGCGTGGAGATTCCTGGAGAAAGACTTGCGGGGAGCGGATCAGGGCGACAGCCGTGCCACAGTGCAGGTCCTCAGGTTGAGCAGCGTGACCCAGCTGAGGGCAGGGAAGAGCCACTCGGGGCAGAGAAAGGACACAGGAAGGTGGGAGCAGGGAGCGGGCGGCGCGGGCGGCCAGGAAGGGCCTTGCAGGCTAGGTTTGGAGATGGAGTGACCCATTCCCACTATAAAGACTGCTGCTGGGTCGATAAAAAGCCCTGTGGGGTCACAAGAGGCCTAAGGAGGGCGGGAGAGGGGAGCGGAGGGCTGGATCCATGCAGGCCAGCTCCACACTCCAGGCTAAAGGCCCCAAGGCCCAGGATGAAGTGGTCCAATTCTGGGTTTTGAAATGGACTTCCCATTGGATTAAATGTGCAGGGTCAGGGAGAAAGAGGTGGCCCCAACATTTCTTGGTCTGCCACTGAGAGGAGAGAGCAGCCAGGAACAGAGGGATCGTTTGGTATCTGACGTGGGAACAGGTACAGCATGGAAACAGAGTCTGTCCCCCGTCACCGAGGGCCACTCCCTGCTCTGCAGAAAGGACACTGATAGCTCTTTGGAGGTGGGTCCGGGCACACGGATGGTCCAGGACATTCCCCCATGATGGGACGTGGGCGGTTTCCAGCACAGCCTCTCCTGAAATAAAGCCAGTAATTAAAAGGATCAGCCATAACATCAACTACCCAAATACAAACCTGCGTTTGCCGCCTGCCAAATCCGTGATCTTGTGCACGTCACTTAACCTCTGTTTCCTTGCCTGTGAAGGAGGACACTACTTACCTGAGTAAGTTTATTTAGTATGAAGTCTAAATGAGACAGTGCAGGGAGAGGGTTCAGCAGAGAGCTTGGCAGGAAGCAAACTCGGGAATACTCAGGTTGTCATCAGAAGCTGTGGTGGCCGTAACATTTATAGTGCTGTCATTACGGTGGCTCCCTATCCAAGGGTGATTCAGAAACAGATCGAGAACTGGGAGTGTAAGGAAGACCTAACGTTGTTTCTTTCTGTGCCTGTATTTCATTGAATACAACACCAGCCAGGTCTGCCCATGTCATCACCAATGACTGATCTCATCTCTTCTAGTGGCTGAACAGTACCTCCCTTGTATGTGGAGTCCACAGAAGTAGACAGCAGAAGCCTGGTCACCAGGGCCTAAGGGCGTGGGAAGAGGGGAGGCAGAGGGGTTGATCCAGAGTCTCAGGGAGGCAGGAGGAGTGAATTTTGGTGTTCTATGCACAGGAGAGTGAATAGAGGCAATAATAATTACTGTATATTCTGAAATAGAAGAACCTTGAAAGTTTTACCACAGAGAAATGACCAACCTTTGAGGTAATGAATATGTTAATTATTCTGATCTGACCACCATACAATGTATCAAAAATCACATGGTAGCCCACAAGTATTTATAATTATTAGTCAATTAAAAATAAAACATTTTAAAAGTTGAGAATATAGGACATCTTCTACATAAATCAATGCTGACAGTCCTAGTGCTTTTGATCTGAGCCTTGAGCCCATCTCCAGAGGGCTTATAAGACACTCCTTAGGATCACAAGGTGGTCTAGAACATGTAAGTTACGCTTAAAGAAATAAACTGAAGACAAAACCACAAGGCAACCCATAACCTCAAAAAGACATAAAGCTATTATGCAGAAGATAAAGTTATAAAGAGGTGAAGGAAGAGGACTTGAACTAACAGCTGGCAGATGAATAAAGGGAGTCAGGGACGAGGGTTGCTGAGCCCACACCCTCTCACTCACTCTGGGTTTGTTGGGGGACAACACAGTAAGTTCAAACAGAAAAGCTGGGATCCCAGGATCGTTGGCCTGGCTAGCACACTTGCGCCTGTGTCCTGGGGACCTGAGGCCCTGGGTGCTAAGAAGATTCCAGAAGCTTGTTGGAGGAGCAGAACGTAGACCTGGGTTGGAAGAAGTCCAGGCACGTGACTTGTGGGGAGGGAGAGCGCTTCATGGTGTCTGTGTCTGGGATTCGGGCTCTGTGTTGGCTATTGGGGTCCCACGATGAACAAGAGGAGCATCATGGCCCCCCTTCTCACCTAACGCATCACCCATTGAGGGGGACACAGGCAGTATGACAAGGCAAGTGCCATCACCAAGAAGAACACTCAGGACCAGCAAAGTTGATGTGGAGACTTCTACTAAGAGAGGTCAGAGAAAGAGCTGGGGGCTCTAGGAGACCACAAGATGAGCCGCCAGGGCCAGACGGGGAAGCCGGGAGGCAGGGAGAGGGGGCAGATAGCAGGGCCTGGGCCCAGTCCTGGGGAACAGGGACCTTTTCTGGAGACAGCTACAGCAAAGCTGGGATCTGAACACACCAGGGTTTTCTTCCAGACCTCTGTGTGGGATATCCATACCGACTAACAGGTTTTACTGGCCATCGACAACTGATGGCAAAGACCCCAGAGATGAGAAAATAAGCTGCAGCCGCGTGGGGCCGTGTAGGAGTAAAGCCAAGGGCTTGATTTCCAGAGCTGCACAGGCTGGCAATCCATCAGCTCCCCCAGCACCATCTCAGGAACATCACTGCTGCAATGCAGCACTTTCGGAAGGCTGCAGAAATGTATATACAACGTATCACTTATATATTGAATATACCAGGACACGTGCCAGTAGCAGATAATAAATTCAGTTAAACAGTATGAAAAGATGCATTGCAGTCATTCTGAACTCAATGAAATTTTCAGGAAAAAAAAAAAAAAACAAGATGGGTGATTGACTGCCCCAGGGATGATGGGTAGCTCTGATGTTGACAGGGTGTCTGGAGACAGCAGCACTGCCGTCTCTAACTTTCACTGAAATGGAGGACTTTTACACTCAGGGGCTTAGCCACATTTCTTGGCAGCAAATAGAATTTCCCCAAACATGTGTTTGCTCTGAAACCTTATCCTGGATTATTTCTTCCCCCAGGCAAGCAGATCAATTGGAGCAAAACAGGAAGCAATTGTTTGTTATCTGACATCTCAAATTACTTCTGGTGAATAATAAATTTTCCCAGATTTATATTCATGATAGCTTTGATACTCTACATGTGTAAAGAAGAGATGTCATTAATTCACCATGATGTTCCCTCCCATCGTGGTTTGGACCTGCAGTAAACCCCATGAGCCGACTCCTGAGACACTGCTCGCTCAGCTAATGGAGCCCAGCCACCGACGGGGAGATGGTCCACGCATCCCTCAGAGTTGCCCAAGAGTCCTGTAGAACACGAATATTCTGTGAGATACCAGCAACACTCCACCAGAAAAGGAGGAGAGGGCGAGGGAGAAGAAAAACAAAAGAAGAAGGTCCGGCCGGGGACATTTCCAAGCTCAGATAAATTCACGAAGCACTTTTTAACCACAGAACCTCTGGAGCACAGTGAGGAGCACTGTGAGTCTTCAAGAAGTAAGTCATTCTGCATTTTAACCTTATATTGCCAAGAGCATTCTCCCTGGAGACCCCTAATGGTGTAGATCATTGCATTTCATGGAGCCAACGTCAGGAAATGCTGTTCTAGGCTATTTCTTAGGCCAGGAGCAGTGGGTCCCTCCATTTCTCACAGTTCACGAAACACAGTTTACTGTGCTGTAGTTATATGCTTACATGAGCTCTCTCCTATTCAGTCTGATTTCTATTATCCATCACTTGTGCGTTTTGGAGTACCTGGCCAAAAGGAGGTTATCAATACATACAGTCGGCATGTGATAAATACTTGTGGGACTAACAAATAAACACTTTGTACCTTACATTAAATGAATTTTGGAGAGGGCCTCTGTGAACCCTTGTTTCCTCATCTGTGGGACAGAGGGGTTTGTCTGGTAATCTGTCAGGACCCTTTCAGCTCTAATCTTGGGATTCTGTGACCTCACAGGGACACAGAATCATCATGCAGAAGAGCCTCACTCTACAGAATTACAAGAGGACTATTGAAGAGATTAGTAATCAGAATTCATTTTCCAGAGTTAAAGAACTCACCCTATTCATGTCTCCTCAACATAATTATGTAGTATTAATTAGTTCTTTTGCATTTTCTTCTCAAATATAAAATGTGCACGGGTGCTGGGTTCCCCGTGGCTAGCTCTCTCTCCTGCTGAGCCTTCGGTTCTTGCTATAAAATGTGTGCTGCCTCGGCAGTCGAGCTCGGAGCTCTTCTCCGGGGCAGTCTGTGTCTCTGCTGACAAGTGGGCTGGAGAATTTATTAACAAACATGACTGTTTATTCACAGAAATGGTCAACTCAATAGCTTTCCTGCTTTTTTCCCCGAAAAATGTTTCTCTTCAAGCCACTCAAGTATCTCATGAAACTGGCCAATCTTACTTTTCATGATCACATCATCTTTGAGGACTCATTTTTTTAAAACAAAACAATTTCTGAAGATTTGGATCTAGAAAAAATAAATCGCTTGTCCCCCCTGTACACCCTCCCACACAACACAGGAGACTCTGCACCCCTAAGAAGTGTGAGCACTCCCACCCCCTGCCAGCAATCAGGTACCCCATAATCCACTGTGGCACCGTCTACCTGAAGAGTCAGATCCCACAGGTTAGGGGCTCAGTCCCAGCACTGCCCCACCTTGAGACGTCACTCCCAAGCCAGGGTGATTTCTGCCTGTGCCTCTGAGCCACCAGTTATAAATCAGAGTTCCCATGACACCCTCCCCTCCTTCACAGGCTCAGACTTCTCACAGAACTCAGGCAGGAAAGCTCACAATCACTGCTTGGTCATAAAGGATATTACAAAGTGCAGAGAATTGATAGGGAGCTTCCGCTCTCTCCCCAGCACAGCGCCCCTGGGAACCTCCCCAGGCTCAGCCATCCAGAGCCCTGCCGCCTGCCCTGGTTTTCCCAGGGGCTGCGTTTACAGGAATGATTGCTGAGCACTGGAGGAGCCCGCTCGCCGGCCTGTTAATGCATATTCTTCTTGGCCTCTCAGAGCTGCAGTCTTCCCTCCAGGGATGGTTAAAGCACAGTTCAGAGATAAAACGGTTCCCCACTCTGCTGGCAAACACCCTGGAGCTTGTCCTCCTCTGGAAATGGGGATTACAGAAGATTGCAGGCTTCTTCACCCAAGAAAAGTGGTAGTTCTTCCTCATGGGTCATGCTCCCAGGGCTATGGCAGACCCCGGGCACTCGACCTCACCTTCTTCTTTCTGGCTTCTTATCTTGTGGATTCAAACCAATCCACAAACCAACTGAGCGTAAGAGCGGGGTTTATTGAAAGATAGGAACAAAACTCTTACAGTCCACAAGGGAACCAAATAGCAGGTTTTCTCCCTCGAGTGCTTAGGGGTTTATGTAGCACGTGGATCACTGCTATTAGTCCAAACATGCTAATTAGGGTTTGGAAACTGCTAACCTTATTGGTCCAAATTTATGCTAATTAGGGTTTAGAAACATATTAAGCTATTGGCCAATGCTGAGTCCCAACCTTCATTCAAGTCTGCCCCATTTCCATTGTCTCCTGGCAGGTCCGGAAGTGGCAGGGTGAGGTCCCAGGGGCTGCCAGGAGCAGCTTCTGCAGCAGGCGTGGGCACAGTGCCCAGGCAAGGGCACCTCCACCAGGCTCCTGCTGCACTTGCTGCTGGTCCTCTGGCCCACCCTGGCAGCCACTCCACTGCACCCCCCGCTTCTCTGCCGCTGTGCAGCTTGGCAGCTGGGGAGCGTGTCACCTGGGTCTTATGGAGGGAAGCAAAGCCGAGTCACCCTGCAGCTCACACAGGTTCTGTAGTCCGTGGTCCATGCCTTGGACTGAGGCAGTGTGTGGGCCTGCAGCTGCTCTGTCCCTTGGCCTGTCCCCTGGCTTCTCCCATGGTTCTTGGGCCATATGTGGTTATGAAGGGCTTCGGTTTCTGAAGGACACTCATGCCGTTGGTGTTGGGGAGGTAGGAACCGAATGTCTTCAGGGTCTGAGGGCTGCTATACCATACCTGGTGACATCAACTATCTCTGTCACAGAAACTGTGCAACAAACCATCCCCAAACAACAGCCACTTGTCCTTGTTCTCCAGTCTGTCGCTGAATGGATGGCTCTGGCCTTGGATGGGCTCATTTGGGTCTGAGAACAGCTGAGGGCATGGAAGGCTCTGACCACTGTGGCTGGGGACCAGCGGGTGTCATTTGGCTCTCTGCAGGTCTCCCTTTGGCTCTTATCCCTGAGGTCCCATTCTCCAGCAAGCCAGCCTGGTCTCATTCTCACACCAAGGCAGAGGTCCAGGAGAGCAAGAGCGGGAAGTCCCAGTCCAGAATGGGCACACTGTCACTTGTACCCTATTCTAATGGCCAAAGCATGTCTCAGGGCTAGGGCTAGCTCCGATTTTAAAAACGTAAAAGGTGAGAAACAGGAACCACCTCTCCAAGGCAAAAGTTGAAAGGGTACATTGCCTGACTGTGCACAAGTTTGGTTGTTTTTATTTTTTTTAAGTTTGCTATCTTGTATTGCAGTAAGATACACATAGCATAGTTTTCTGTTTGGTTATTTTAAAGCATATTGTTCAGTGGCATTAAATGGTAATAATGTAGTTCAATGGTCACATCCAACTGAAGTCAAGCTCTTGTCCCCAAGCCGTGCAGCGGAGCTCCAGCGTGTGGAACCTGCCATGCCGGTGGGGGGCTGAGGCTGCAAGCCAGGGAGCAAAGACCTGTCACCCTGTGGTGGCCTGTCCCAGTCTGGTGCGAACCCCTGCTCCACACAGCACTGCGGCTCAGAACCGCCCACGCTGAGCATTCACCCCTCCCAACTTCAACCTCTAGAGAAGCTGGGATTGCAGGCGGGAGGTGGGAAAACAGACGTGGGGACAGACCAGAATGGACGGGCCCACTCAAGGGTGAAGCAATCCTCAGTACTTTTCCAAACCCTAATTAGCCTACATTTGGACCAATAGCGTTGGCTCTTTTTCAAACCCCGATTAGCATAAATGAGGACCCATAGCGTTAACCCAAGTGCTATATAAACCCCAGCCCAGCACGTCTCAGCGGCAGTCTGCCACGGGGGTCTTTTGTTGGAAATGGGAGGCTGGTGGTTTTTATTCTTCATGCTTGAATCACATTCTTTCCGCATTTTGCTTTTCACTGAACCCAATGGAACTTTTTGGAGAGCTGTGGATGTTGTGACCATGGGGATGTTGTGACCATGGGGATGTTGTGACCATGGGGATGTTGTGACCGTGAGAGCCGCAGCAGGCCATAGGGCTCTGACCTGGAAGACCATGGACAGAGAGCTGCCGGGCTGCGGGATGTACACGGTGTCATAAGCAGGTTTTTTGTGACTGTCGGGTTTCACTGGGCCCAGTGTTCTCAAGTTCCATTCATGCTGTAGCGTGTGGGAAAGTTGTTCCTTCCTCAAGCCGAGTGCTGTTCCACCCTGTCCTGACACATGTGTGCACCCACACTGTGCATCACACATGATACGCGCTTACAGTTCTATCCTGGGCACTTGTTTTGCTTTCACCTGTGAGCTGTGAGTTGTGCTGACAAGAACCTGGGTAGGGAGTCAGTTCTTTTAGGAATCTACCCAGAAGCAGCATTGTTGGGTCACATGATCCTTGTTCATTTTCTGAGGTAGTAGCAAACTGTGTCCACAGGAGTCACTTTACATTCCCACCAACAGTGCACAAGAGTCTAGTTTTGTTTTGTTCGTTTGTTTTGTTTTTTTGGTTTTTTTTGGTTTTTTGTTTGTTTTTTTTTTGAGAGAGAGAGAGAGAGAGAGAATTTTTTTTAATATTTAATTTTTTTTTATTTTAGTTCTCGGCAGACACAACATCTTTGTTGGTATGTGGTGCTGAGGATCGAACCTGGGCCGCACTCATGCCAGGTGAGCGCGCTACCGCCTAAGCCACATCCCCAGGCCCAAGTCCAGTTTTTTTTAGCATGGACACTGCGCTGAGCAAACCCAGTTCTCTCCCGTGTGGAGAGAGGCAGGTACGTGCTGGTGAACATGCAACACCAGCTCTGGGATGGGTGGACGTGTCACAGGATGGGCACTGAGTGCTGGTGAGGTCGCGGCAGACCAGGGAGGCCCATCCACGGAGCAGCTGGGCTGGGTCTTGGAGGGTGAGGTTCGTCTCAGCCTCTAGCCGTCCATCCTCTGGGTGGATGCTTTAGCTTGAACCAACCATCCTGTTGGTCATGAATTTCAACCTTTGTGGGAGGTAGGGGTGGTTCCCAAAGAGCAAAGGCTTGTCATGGCCAAGGAGTGGGACTTCCCACGGGACCTCTGAGCAGGGAATGTGCTCGTTCAGGAGGAGTAGAGGAGGTACAAATGGATTGAGGTATGGGCCAACGCTGATGGAAGAGCCCCCACGAGGGTTTACTGCGGGAGCCCATGAGCTCACTAACACGGAGCCTTTAACGAGAGCCTGCCCTGTGCACAGGAGGGCTGAGCCCCAGAGGCCAGTGGAACTTGCTGAAAGGCGTTCCTGGAATGAGAACCCCCTGCCAGACCCTCTCCACAGACGTCTGCTAACGTCTCCCAGTCACTGGGCAGTTGCTTTAGCCTCGTGCCGTGGCGATCTGGGACTGTCCCAGTGTTCCTGAGCTGCTGGGGAGCACCAGCAAAGCACGGCTTTGGGCCTAGGGAGTCAGGTTCTCAGGGGAAGGAGGCACTTCCACAGGCTGCGAGGCCTGTTAGCATGGGGGCAGGGTCAGTCTAGTATGCACCACTCCAGCGTTCCAGGGGGGAGACCGCCCAGGTCCCCTGGCCCCAGGCTGTTCTATGTTGGCGAAGTAAAGACCCAGGACAAGACAGGGCGCCTATCAGTGGTCTGAAGGCAGCACGGGAGAGTCTGAGAAGCGGTTACAAGGGCTGGAGTTGGACATGAGAGGAAGAGGTGTGAATCCCAGGTGACTGATAATCCGAAAATGAGCTTGGCCACTGCAGCTTCAATTCCTAAGTCTGTGTGAGTTACTTTTAATGTGACCTTCATGGTGGACAACATCACAGGAGCCGTTTCCTTTGGAAATGCTAGAAGTTGACTCTGGTAATGAGACATTTTCTCCCTGCTTTTCTGCCCCTCCCTTGGGATTCCTGTATGATTTCTAAGGGAAGGACACCTTTGGACAACCATCCCCGGGTGGGTTATGTACACTGAGCCTCTTATTTCTAGATTTTCTTGACATGAAGTGGAATAAATGGCAAGGGTCTCTAAGTGTCTGCACGACCCTGAGGTCACGCAAGACCCCTGCCGCAATTACATTAGTTGGCATGCATCACCCCCTCTGCCCCCCACGCTCTAACAGGACAAAGGCCAGCTCACACGGCTCAACGCAGGCTCTTACACCTCAGTGTGAGTCAACAGTCAGTGCCAGCAGCCTTGGGGGAGAACAGGAAAACCACAGAGTCGGTGAAACTGGAGTTTTGAAGTGGAACTTAGTTCACTGCTTCTGCAAGTCTCTGCCGCTGAAACTTCAGCACTCTCCAGTGTTGCCGCAGATCCCAGCAGCTCTCGACGGTTCCTTCTTCCTGGCTTCTCATCTTGTGAACTTGAAGAAGGAGGTCCACAGAGCGGCAGGAGTGGGCGAGAGCACAGGACTCGTGGGAGAACCAACAGGACTCCTTGCCCTGCAGCAGAAAGCCTCCATCAGGTGCTCTCCCGCCCAGGGAGCCTGTCCGGCGGCTGATGCAGCGCCTGGCTCACTGCTCTTGGTCCCACCTTATGTGAACCAGGGTGTGAGAAAGTAGCAATGCGTTGGTTCAAGCTTATGCTAATTAGGGCTCAGAGAAGTACTAACGCTGTTGTCAACTCTCGTGTCCGACTCCCATTCAGGTCTGCCCCACTTCCATTTCTTTGGGCCGGTCAGGAAGCAGGAGGGCCCTGGTCTGTCTGTACTCACAGGTTCCTCCACTGCGTGGGGTGGGTTTCTGCAGCAGGCGACCGTATCATGCCCAGTCCTACCTAGTCACCAAAGGGTGACAGGTGGGTGCTTTGGCTCACAGCACTTCAGGACGGCCAGGCCTGCATGGTGGGTCCACAGGACGAAGGCCATGCTTGCCACAGGTGCTCCAACCCACGGGCCTCACTCTGCCACTCCACTGCTGCTTCTGGGCAGGGACCAGTAGGCAGCTGTGCAGCTTGGCAGTCGGGACCGACTGTGTCAATGGGACAGAACCCCTCTGGGTTGAAGAGGGTGCTGGGCCTAACATCAGGCCAGAGGTGAGAGAATTTCTAAAACAGAAAGGTGGAGGAGGGCGAGGGTTCCTAGGGCCTGCCTTGGGAACAGAGCTATCAGCCAGGAACTGGGGAAGAGAACTCCAACAAGTGTATCATTGTATCGTCATCAGAGAGATGCTCATCTAACTGAACCCGACTGTGCTAGAGCTCTGATCTGCAAAACATAAAGTGATCACAAGAGTCTGATGCACCTAGACAACGCAGCCCCAGAGGGCTCACCGCAGCTAAGATTTCCTCTTATTACTTGCATTAGAACATCTCCTCTAAGGGCCAAGGTGCTTTGTAAACACCCTGGCATTTTCCATGTTCCCCATGGGAAGAAACAGGTTGGACACACCCTGCCCAGTTTCACAAGGTGAGAATAAAGTTATAGAAGCAAAGTCATCGTTTTCCAGGTTATCTAAGTTTCCACTCTGTCAGAGGTTTGGGAATAAAAGAGGCCTGGCTTCCCAACAGACTGGAGAGACTGTTCTCTCCAATTCATTCCATTCAAAGTACAAGAGATTGAATATCGGGGGTCACCAGCACTTCAACGTGCAATGGGTGGCCCAGAAGCATTAACTTGCAAAGAGCTGAGTGTAAATTGACCTTCCTTACTAAGCACAGTGCCTCCTGCTCCTCAGAAAAACTTCTATGAAAAGAGAATAAAATTGCAAAGATGCATGTTACTCATTGATTTATTTTATCAACATGTGAGGGAATAAATGTAGGTATATTCCACTCTTAGGAGTGGTCCTTAGTGGTTATTTGGGAAGAGGGATGAAGAGACCAAATGCCCCTATAGGCATATTGCACCAATCTACCTTCTCAAAATACTTTCTGGAAGAATTTACGTTTCTAAGGAAGATGCCCCCTAAATGGCTGAGAGGTGACCCCGGGTACCTCGACAACCAGCACTGTATCCCTCACACTGAAAGCGATGTGAGAACTGAGCAGGTGGCGCTCTCTCTGGGAGCCGGGGCTGGTGGGCAGGTCCTGGTAAGTACACACTAGGAACCAGTCGAAGCCGCTCCCACTGTGGGGAGCACTCCGAATGACCCACACCTCCCATCCTGAAGCCAGAGGCTCTGACCAGTCACTGCATTTCGTGGTGACTTGGGCCTTGTCCCAGCCCAGGAAGCAGAGGGCGTGTCTTCAGGAGCTCCGCTCACCTGTTCCTTGGTGATATTACCCCTTTGCCCTGTTTGGGAAAGAATGTTCCATGGAAATGTCCTTTGTGTGTCCCCGTCTCTTGCTCTGCCCTTGGGCATGGCCTCCCTGGATGTCAGTCCACCTGCTGACAGCAGACGTCACAAGCTGGACTCAGCCCCCTAAAACCTGACCCCTTGCCCCATTTAAAAGGCTTCTCCCCAACAAAAGGGTTCGGTGCTCTCTCTCCCTCTCTCCCCCCCCACCCCCTCTCTGTCTCCATGGACCCCTACCGTCAGAGGAGCCATCACAGGACCCAAAGGAAAAGGTCTCTCTGTCTGTGATGATTCCGTGCAGCCCCGCTCCCTGGAGTGGCCTGAGTGTCTTAGTTGGGAGAAGCAGGGAACGTGCCGCCCACCTGCAGAGAGGAGTGCCGTCCGCCCTGTGTGCCCAACGTCCCCCGTGGCCTTGCCTTCACTCTCACAGAAAGCAAGCACCATCAGCAGGCAGTCCCGCCAGCTCCCAGAGCGGCTCACCTCGTGGGCACTTCAGTCTTTCAACCTAGGAGGGGAGACTCAGGCAGAGAAACAGCGCGGCCACCCACCCGGGCTAGGTGGTCTTATTCTTGAGAATAACAAACCACCAGGTGCCCCCCGTGCTTTGCTGTTGACAGAACAGCTTCCCGTTTTCTCGGTGTGTGTCTGTGAGAGAAAGAACTGGAGACTGGACCCAGGGGTGCTCCACTACTGAGCCCCTTCATTATAGGTTTGCAGGTCAGGGAAATGGGGACAGCCTCGGATTAGGGAGCAAACCTGCTGTCTGTCTGGTTCTGTGTTACGGAACCGTGAACTCAAGAGAGGGAGTGTGATACCTCGGGTTTCTACAAAGCTTATTACGAGACAAATGAAAAGACCCTGAGTCACGTATACCAGTGTCCCCGTTTGACAGACAAGATCATGGAGCCCCCAAAGAAATTCACCCAATGTAATAAACCTGGCAGGTGAGGACTGGAACCCGGTCCCCTGAGGCAAAGAAGAGGGAAAGAAAACAGAAGAGAAATAATAGGCCATTCGGCCTTTCCAGAGTTGATGATTTTAGTATCTGTCCTGAGTAAGCTTATTTGTTTTGTCTCATTTGCTTTTAGGAAAGAGAAAAAATAAAGAGAATGGGGGAGAAGAAAAAATAATTATAAAATACAAGGGAGCAAGGAGGGGTCGGGGACATCAGATTCAGGAAATGAGTTCCGTCTAACAAGCCCGGCCACCCACTTTTCATGCCAGGGGCTGAGGTTTGTGCCAGGGAATACTGAGAAGGTGGTTGCTCTCCAAGAAGTGGCAGAAGCAATTCCGTGGGGAGGTTGGAGGAGAGGGGGAGGCCGGCATGCCAGCAGGGACGAGGAGTGAGGACAAGGGGACAGAGGCCCCTGAGCCAGGGAAGGTAGCAGGCCTCACCAGGCAGGGCCAGTAGGAAGAGGGGTGCAGAGGAGGGGCGGCAGGTGGACATGAACCTGGACACGCTCGCTCACCCACTCGCTGAGAACCCCTGCAGTGGCGGGGGAGGGCCTGGGCACAAACTGGCTAGAAGATGCAGTTGGACCAACAGACTGATCATGCCCCTGGTCCACCCCCTCCTCCCTCCAGAGTCCCAACGAGCAGCTCTCACTTCTGTCCTGCAAAATTCACAGCTTCTCAACCTGGAAGTCTCAAGTCGCCCGGCCCCACTCTCAGGAAAAGCCAAAGGGTGGCGGTGGCCTCCAAGGCTCCTCCCAGCCTGGTGACCCTCCTGAGCCCCTCCCACTAACAGTCCTCAGCCTGACCTGGTATGACCCCCATGACCCCCTTGTTCTGCTCAAGTGCTCCGAGCACCCTCCTGCCTGGGGTGCTGAGCACCCTCACCGTGGCCTGCACCCCTCCCTCCCCTGTGCTCATCCACCTCCTCCAGGTCTCCTCTCAAGGTCACCTTCTCAGAGGCACCTCCCGCCACCCCTGCCCCCCTGGACTCCCCACGGGGCTTCTCTGTCCTGTTTGGGCCCGCCCCACTCGCCACCACCTGACGTGCTCCATCTCCCCTCATCTTCGGCATGCCCCACCCCTGCTCTGAGGCTCACACGACGGCCTGGGTCCTCTGTCCATTTGGCTCACTGTGTCCCTAATGCGTGGAAGGTCTTTGTCACACGTCAGGCATTGGCTTGATTTTATGAATGAAGGAAGAGGGTAGACTGCCAATGTCCTCTAGATGCTTCGCTCCTTCTCTCGGGACTCAACCTCTCAACTAGTGAATAAACACATGTAGATACAGATGCCACGTATGTTTATTAAATCTATATAGTACACCTTGAATGCAGGCAATCTCTATTCTTCAAACTTTTTATTTATTATTTAGGTACCATTTTACAGAATAGATGTGGGGGACATTAAAGCCAATCCAGTTAAGGAATGAGGGGAGCCGTGGCCCTCTGGGGGTAAGATACTGCCCTCCCGTGCCCCAGGCTTTGGTGTGACCATCACTTGATGTGAAGAGGCTGAGACAGATTCAGGAGGTGTCCAGAACTGCAGCCTGATTTGGTGACATATCAGAGGGCAATGGCAGGTAAGACAGAGACCCTGGCAACATGGGGGTCCCTCCTGGCATCACACAGGAAGGGAGGAAGATTTGGGGTTAAACACAGTGAACTGAGTTTGAGGGTTTGTGAGTTCTCCAGGAGGGACTCTCCCACAGACAGTGGGATACAATGGGGTCCAAGGTCTGGAGAAAATTGGGGACTTGAATATTGAACCTGCCAGTTCCCTCTAGAACTTGGAGTGTGAGTGAAAAAACATCATTGGGAAAATCCTCAAGCACTGTCAGCAGCTCCTGGGGCTCGGACTCCAAGTGGGAGTCCCACACTGCTCTGGGCTCGCTTTGTCTGAGGTACAGCCAGAGAAAAAACTAGACTGGACCAAGGGGGAGGTATCCTCCCCAGGTGGGGAAGGAAACCCATTAGTGCATTCCTCACTTCAAAGCAAGGCAAGATGTGGGGTTCAGACTTAACTCTGCCGTTGAATCGATTGCAAAGCCCTGAGCCAGGCGGGCAAGCTTGAATCTGCTCTTGTTCACAGGGTGCCTGTGTTGTTCCAAGCCTCCCGGCGGGTCCTGTTTGTCCTGTGAGCCCGGCCTATACGAAACTTGCTGACAGCCTTGAAATTAGGATTGGTTCTGGGTCCTTTCAAAATGGGTGCCCTGGGGATATATTTTGGTTTAAACAGATTATTTTCATCAACATGCACTGCAAAAGGGAATCGCCAATTCAAGGCTCTCAGCCCCAAATTCACATTTTCTACTTTTACCTTACATGGTTTATATACGTACATGTCTCCTTGTCCTCTGTTCTGGAAGGACACCAGCCTAGAGCCCAGCCCGGCACCTGGCATAAAAGATACACCAAGATCAGCCACTTTGAAATTGGCCAACACATGAACAGCAGTCCCTGTAGTGGGGGAGTGGGAAACATTGTGGCTTCCGTGTTGAAAGGCATTTTACCTACAGCATGAGTGGTAAATAACAGGAATCCAATCCACTCCAACCTGTGTTGTGTATCATTGTTAGGATGTGTGAATCAAGAATCAGTGGATCATTGGGGTGTTTACCCGATTTCCCTGGAGCTGCAGAGTTTTTATTAAATGACAGTTGGTACCTATGACAGAGTCATCTAGGATCAGGAAATGAAATAAAGTTCTAATTACTTTGATTTTCTTCTAAGAAGAGCACACTAGGGAAAGGTCTTGGACCGTATGGCTTCAACGAGGTGTGGCATGTGCTTTGGGTGCTCACGGTCTACATTACCCTTGACTCCCATCATCACAGACAATTACAGTTTCCATCACCCTGTGAAATACTTGTCCCACCACGTGTTTCAGGTCGGAGACTCTCAGTACCGAGCTGAATGCACAAGCTCACGTGGACAACGAGACGGAGCACTTCTCAGACACGGTGGCCACGATTCCACATGGGCCTGGTGCTCACTTCTTTAATCTGTGCCACAACCCATGGGCAGGTGCACTGCGTCCCTCCACTTGCAGATGAGAAGACTGGGGACAGAGGAGCTAGGTGGCCTGTCAGCTGTCTGGCTGCAAAGCTGTGCTCTGGACGGTTCCCATGCTGCAGGGTCTGGAAGGGGTCCAGAGTGACTCAGGCTCACCTCAGTGACACCACCGATCAGGCTGCCCTGAGGTCACAGCTTCTCCTCCCTCCTCCCAGCCAAGAGATACCATCTCAGACTGGCCTCTTGCTGGATCTAAAGGCACTTTTGACACCTGCCTGTCTGGGATTTCGTAAGCTCCTGAGTCCCCTTTGGAATAAAAATGCACTATTTGAGTTATTAATGCCTTGAGGAGGAAGCCCCCAGCTTAATGCCAGACTAGACACAAATAACCTGTTAAAATACCGAGCTCCTCCCATTGAGCTGCCCAGAAGGTGGGTTCCAAGTGCCATCACTTGCGAGGGGTCCCCTTCTCAACGTGAGACCTTCTGGTGGCGGTTCATCATGGAGGAGACTCCAGCTTGGGAAAGGAGGAATGGAAATTTGGGCCAACTCAGTTTGGTAGAAGAGAAATGAAAACCTTCTTTTCCCTGCCTCATTCAACCTGTCCCGCAGAAAGCAGGAACGACAGGCCGCGAGCCTCTCTCCTCTTTGGCGAACCCACCACTAGGAGCTTCCCGTCCTCAGGAAAGGAGGCGGACTGCAAGGCGCTCCATCACCCTCACAGTGGAATTCTGAGCATCTCAACACCAGGCTCCCCACTGTTCCATTGCAAGAGGCCGGTCAATAGTCAGGGTCAGCCAGGTCATCCGCTACTCGGCAGCCACATCCCCCCCCCAGCTTCCAGCCCAGCTCAGGAGCTGCTGACGAGCGAGCGGGGTCCCTGTCGGCAGGGTCAAGCCGTCGCTGTCCCTCCCACCTTCCCCAATTTCCAGTTAGACACCACCTCCTTCCAGCCACTTCTGCTCCTTGGAGAACTGAAGTAAGATGATCTCCTAGGAACTCCCGACCTGTAAAGCTAAGAAGCTGAGGAGGGCCCAAGCCCAACCCAGAGCAGAGGGTCCTCCGTACCCTGCCAACGTCCCCCTGAAGCATTAATCCGACCATCGACAAACGCAGATCTACTCCACCGACAATTCTTTGCCTTATTCACAAAACATGTCCAAGCATGTACTACCACATGGCTGGTGAGTGCCAGGGCTGGGGACTTGTGGTAATGTTAGACAGCTCCTCTCCCAGGCCAGCTTCCCCTCCCCTCGCCTGAAAGCTGCCATCACTACTGTCCGTTCTGAAAGAGGAGCTGGGATTAGGTGTTTCCAACGGCTCCTCTGCACCATTAGATCTTGGACCTGGAACAAAACAGGAAATGCGTTGGCCAGGTGCACGGACACAGTTGTAGGACGTGGCTCTGATTAATGACAGTTCTGTGTATCGGATACGTGTGAGCTCATTCTGCCTCGGAAAGATGATCCCTGTGCTTCTCTTAAGTAGGTAGGATCAGGTTCACCCGTCAGGTTGCCTTTCAGAACACGCTGTCCTTTCAGACTTGGCCAGGGCAGCTCACATTCTGGACGTTCTTCTCATGACTGGCGTGTGCTGGGAATGCTGTTAGACTTTCATCTTCTCTCCATCAGTAAAGGCTTCAGCAGATCCAAGTCACAAATAAGGGTGACCTCAGTGGATTAGGAAGCCCATATTTTCTGTAGGTGGTTTAAGAGAAATGGAATCTGCATCACTGACCTTCCCTAAGACTACAGAACTGAGAGGTTTCAGGGCTGAAGGTAGACCAAGAAACACCACGGTACATGGCATATATGTTACCTCCACACAGAGCTAGTCCCAAGCAGATTCCTAAAGCTGGGAGAGCTGGCACTGGAGACGACCCTCAGTTTCTCTTTTCTAAACTTCCTCCTGCTCAGATTACTAGACAAGAGGAAGAGGATGAGGGGAGTGGGAGGGGATGGCGAGGGAGGGTCGTGGGAGTGGGTAATGTCAAGGTACGTGATTCGCATGTACAGACATGCCACAATGAAAGCCATTTTCCTGTGCGATTAAAATGCACCAATAAAAATAATTTTAAACAAAATAAAATTCCTCCTGTTCTCAGTCACTGCACCACTGCCTAGATTTCATGGGATGAAATTGGGTTCCAACCATACAACAAAATCCTATGCAGCCACTAAAAATCACATTGAAGAAAAATATTTAGCAGCATGCAAAGATGCCCAAGCACTTCCCCAGGCCCCCAATTCCCCACCACAGTGAAAAATTTGCCAAATATTTCACCCCGGTCACTGTTTCCTGAGCAGGTAAAACCACACCACTTCCTGCCCCAAGTCAAGGCTCATCAGACTTAGTTCCAAGAAGTGGCTCACAGAGAATTAAGCAGACTGTTTCCTGTGCACTCAACCAGCAGCAAGGACGTGGACAGTAATAACTCACTCTGGTGAGCCGTGAAACGGGGATTTCCCCAGCCTCAAAACCCAAGCACTTGCTGGAGGTTAAGTATCTGCTGGGAGGTGCCTGTCAGTTGATATGACTTTGGAGCAAGATGTAAACCCCCGGCCCGTCGCTTTGTGACGGGAGGACCTTGAACATGTAACTTACCTCCCTAAGGCTCAGTTTTCTGCACTGGTAAAACAGGACCACAGGAGCACGTACCTCACAGGCTCAGTTGGAAGAGTGAATGAGTGGTCTGTAAAGAACTGAGCACAGGGGCTGGGGCTGTAGCTCAGTGGCAGAGAACTTGTCTGGCATGGGTGAGGCACTGGGTGGGATCCTTAGCACCACATAAAAATGGGACAGATAAAATAAAGGCATGCTGCCCATCGACAACTAGAAAAACAAGATTTTATATATATATAAAAGAACTGCGTATAGTTCTTAGTAATCAGGAGGTTCTTGATGAACTTCAGCTATTATTCCAACTGCTCTATCTCAGATTTATCCTCCACTCTATGCCTAAGGAAAAAGTTAGGGGTGGGGTCCCGGGAACAGGAGTGGGAGTCTCATCCTCAGGAGTAAGAGGAGATCACAGGTTCTATGGGGATGAACAGATTCTAGTCAGTCTTAAAAGGAAACCAGGAGTTAAGGGCCATCTTTGTATGGTCCTCCTACTTATTTCTGCCCCAGCCTTGCCCCCCATGAAAATCTGCAGGAGAGGTTGTCACTTCCCTGTGGGTCGCATAGGGAAGTGGTCCTGGGGACTCCTACCTGCTCTGGGAAGGGTCTCCTTTTAGAATAAAGATGGAGGGAGGCAGGGAGTGGAAATGGCCCAGGGGAGGAGAGAAAAGCCAGCCCACACCACCGCGTTGTGGCCATGGCAGTAAGATTAGGGCAGTTGGAGACGCAAGGCTGGCCCGCAAGGCGGCCTAGGGGACACTTGGCAGGACCTGGTGGGGTCCACAGGCCTTTCCCGTGGGAAAGCCAAGGCTCCCTTGGACTTGGTGCGTGTCCTGTTCATCTGAGCTTTACCAAAAAGACAAATTTAATTCAAAGAAATGAAAATATTTCAAGAGCCCTCAAGAGCCGTGAGGCAGTGTGGATGAGCTGCTCTGAAGGGAAATGCCGTCTGGGCTCTGACTCGTGCACCCACTGCGAGTGGCCAGAGAGCTCCCTGCCTCCCAGGGCTCTCGGCCCAGCCTTTCCATAAAGTCCTGGAGAGAGAGAGAGAGAGAGAGAGAG